GGGGGATTTTGGGGAGATTTTGGTGATTTTGGCAGAATTTGGAGGGATTTTGGGGGATTTAGGAGGATTTTGGGGGATTTTGACAGGATTTGGAGGGAATTTGGGGGATTTAGGAGGATTTTGGAGGATTTGGGGGATTTTGGGGGATTTTGAAGGGTTTAAGTTGATTTGGGGGGATCTGGGGAGAAAATTGGAGAAATTGGAGGATTTTGTGGGATTTTGGCAGAATTTAGGAGGATTTGGGGGGAATTTGGGGAGATTTGGGGGATTTGGGGAGAAAATTGGAGAAATTGGAGGATTTTGGGGGATTTTGGGGAGATTTGGGGGGATTTTGAAGGGTTTAGGGAGATTTGGGGAGAAAATTGGGGATTTTGGGGCGTTTTGGGGAGATTTGGGGGATTTTGGCAGAATTTGGAGGGATTTGGGGAAATTTAGGATTTGGGGAGATTTTGGGGGATTTTTGGGGATTCCAGGGGATTATTTAGGAGATTTGGGAAGAAAATTGGGATTTTGGGGCGGTCCCATGGGGGATTTTGGGGTTTTTGGACACTTTGGGGTTTTTTGGGATTTTTTGCGGGAATTTTGGGGTTTTTTTGGGACCATTTTGGAGATTTTCAGGGACATTTTTTGGGCAATTTTAGGGACCATTTTGGGGACATTTTGAGGGGTTTTGGGGCTGTTTGGGGAACTTTTTTCTTTAATTTTGGGGGATTTTGGCACATTTTGGAGACTTTTGGGGCCGTTTTGGGAACTTTTTTTTTGGGAATTTTGGGGAAATTTCGGGAACATTTTTGGGACTTTCGGGACCATTTCTGGGACATTTTTGGGACATTTCGGGAACATTTCTGGGAACATTTCCGAGACATTTTCAAGGCAATTTTGGGGAATTTTTGGGACATTTTGGGGATTTTTGGTGATGTTAGGGGAACTTTTTTTGGTTAATTTTGGGGGAATTTGGGGAAATTTTGGGACATTTCAGGAACTTTTTTGGGGAACTTTCTTTTTTAATTTTTGGGGAATTTTTGGGACATTTTGGGAACATTTCCGGGACATTTTGGGAACATTTTTTGGGAATTTTGGGACATTTTTGGGACATTTTGGGAATATTTCCAGGACATTTTTGGGGAATTTTGGGAACATTTCGGGAACATTTCCGGGACATTTTTGGGGAATTTCCGGGACATTTTGGGAACATTTCCGAGACATTTTTGGGGAATTTTGGGAACATTTCAGGAACATTTCTGGGACACTTTGGGAACATTTCTGGGACATTTCAGGAACATTTCCGGGACATTTCGGGAACATTTCCAGGACATTTCGGGAACGTTTCCAGGACATTTTTGGGGCAATTTTGGGGAATTTTTGGGACATTTCGGGAACATTTTTGGGGACATTTCAGGAACATTTCCAGGACATTTTTGGGACATTTCGGGAACATTTCCGGGACATTTCGGGAACATTTCCGGGACATTTTTGGGACATTTCGGGAACATTTCCGGGACATTTTGGGAACATTTTTTGGGAATTTTGGGACATTTTGGGAATATTTCCAGGACATTTTTGGGGAATTTTGGGAACATTTCTGAGACATTTTTGGGACATTTCGGGAACATTTCCAGGACATTTTTGGGGAATTTTGGGGACATTTCAGGAACATTTTTGGGACATTTCAGGAACATTTCTGGGACACTTTGGGAACGTTTCCGGGACATTTTTGGGACATTTCGGGAACATTTCCAGGACATTTTTGGGACATTTCAGGAACGTTCCCGGGACATTTTTTGGGCCGATTTCGGGGGTTTTTGGGGCCCGCCCCATCCCCCAATCAGCCGCAGCCGCCGTTGCTGACTCAGCGTTTATTGACGCGCGCGGGGGGCGTGGCCAAGCCCGGCCCCGCCCCAAGCCCCGCCCCCTCCCCAGGCCCCGCCCACCCGGGGGCGGGGCTTAGCCCGAGCCCGAGGGGGCGGGGCCGTGACGTCGCTGGTGCCGCCTCAGCCCCGCCCCCGAGGCGAAGCTCCGCCCACAGACGGGGCAGGGGAAGGGGCGGGGCCTCGCCGCCATCTTGCCTTCGGCCATGTTGGATCCGGCGGCCATGTTGGTTCCCAACATGGCGGCCATGTTGTTTCCTCCAACGGCGGCCATATTGACATCCGCCATATTGTTTCTTCTAACGCCGGCCATATTGGTGTCGGCCATTTTGGCTTGCAACATGGCGGCCATATTGACATCCGCCATATTGTTTCTTCTAACGCCGGCCATATTGGTGTCGGCCATTTTGGCTCCCAACATGGCGGCAATATTGGTGTCGGCCATATTGCTCCCCACAACGGCGGCCATGTTNTTTTGGGACATTTTGGGGATTTTTGGTGATGTTAGGGGAACTTTTTTTGGTTAATTTTGGGGGAATTTGGGGAAATTTTGGGACATTTCAGGAACATTTTTGGGGAACTTTCTTTTTTAATTTTTGGGGAATTTTTGGGACATTTCAGGAACATTTCCGGGTCATTTCGGGAACATTTCCGGGACATTTTTGGGGAATTTTGGGGACATTTCGGGAACATTTCCGGGACATTTTTGGGGAATTTTGGGAACATTTCTGGGACATTTTGGGGAAATTTCGGGGACATTTTGGGAACATTTCCAGGACATTTTTGGGGGAATTTTGGGAACATTTTGGGAACATTTCCGAGACATTTTTGGGGAATTTTGGGAACATTTCAGGAACATTTCTGGGACACTTTGGGAACATTTCCGGGACATTTTGGGAACATTTCCGGGACATTTTTGGGACATTTCAGGAACGTTTCCGCGACATTTCGGGAACATTTCCGGGATATTTTTGGGGACATTTCAGGAACATTTCCAGGACATTTTTGGGACATTTCAGGAACATTTCCGGGACATTTCGGGAACATTTCCGGGACATTTTTGGGACATTTCAGGAACGTTTCCGGGACATTTTTTGGGCCGATTTCGGGAACATTTCCAGGACATTTTTGGGGACTTTTTGGGAACATTTTTGGGGAATTTTTGGGACATTTCAGGAACATTTTTGGGACATTTCAGGAACGTTTCCAGGACATTTTTGGGGAATTTTGGGGACATTTCAGGAACATTTCCGGGACATTTTTGGGACATTTCGGGAACATTTCTGCGACATTTCGGGAACATTTCCAGGACATTTTTGGGACATTTCGGGGACATTTTTTGGGCCGATTTCGGGAACATTTCCGGGACATTTCTGGGGACATTTCAGGAACATTTCCAGGACATTTTTGGGACATTTCAGGAACGTTTCCGCGACATTTCGGGAACATTTCCGGGATATTTTTGGGACATTTCGGGAACATTTCCAGGACATTTTTGGGACATTTCAGGAACGTTTCCAGGACATTTTTGGGGACTTTTTGGGAACATTTTTGGGGAATTTTTGGGACATTTCGGGAACATTTTTGGGACATTTCAGGAACGTTTCCGGGACATTTTTTGGGCCGATTTCGGGGGTTTTTGGGGCCCGCCCCCTCCCCCAATCAGCCGCAGCCGCCGTTGCTGACTCAGCGTTTATTGACGCGCGCGGGGGGCGTGGCCAAGCCCGGCCCCGCCCCTCCCCAAGCCACGCCCACCCGGGGGCGGGGCTTAGCCCGAGCCCGAGGGGGCGGGGCCGTGACGTCGCTGGTGCCGCCTCAGCCCCGCCCCCGAGGCGAAGCCCCGCCCACAGACGGGGCAGGGGAAGGGGCGGGGCCTCGCCGCCATCTTGGCTTCGGCCATGTTGGTTCCCAACATGGCGGCCATGTTGTTTCCTCCAACGGCGGCCATATTGACATCCGCCATATTGTTTCTCCTAACGCCGGCCATATTGGTGTCGGCCATTTTGGCTTCCAACATGGCGGCCATATTGACATCCGCCATATTGTTTCTCCTAACGCCGGCCATATTGGTGTCGGCCATTTTGGCTCCCAACACGGCGGCCATGTTGACGGCAGCCATATTCTTTCCCCCAACGACCGCCATATTGTTTGTCCCGACGGCAGCCATATTGCTCCCCTCAGCAACAGCCATATTGGTGTCAGCCATATTGTGTCCCGCAATGGCAGCCATATTGCTTCCTCCAACGGCAGCCATATTGCTCCCCCCAATGGCGGCCATTTTGATGTCCATCATATTTCCCCTTCCAACGGCGGCCATTTTGGTGTCTGCCATATTGCTCTCCCCAAGAGCCACCATTTTGACATCAGCCATATTGCCCCTTCCAATGGCGGCCATTTTGATGTCAGCCATATTGCTCCCCCCAACAGTCGCCATTTTGACATCCACCATATTGCCCCCCCCAACGGCGGCCATTTTGACATCCGCCACGTTGCTTCCCCCAAGAGCCGCCATTTTGATGTCAGCCATATTTCCCCCCCCAATGGCGGCCATTTTGACATCCACCATATTGCTCCCCCCAACGACGGCCATTTTGACATCCACCATATTGCTCCCCCCAACGGCGGCCATTTTGACATCCACCATATTGCTCCCCCCAACGGCGACCATTTTGGTGTCAGCCATATTGCTCCCAGCAATGGCGGCCATTTTGATGTCCATCATGTTGCTCCCCCCAACGGCGGCCATTTTGGAGTCAGCCATATTGCTCCCCACAAGGGCGGCCATTTTGACATCAGCCACATTGCTCCCCCCAAGAGCCGCCATTTTGACCTCCGCCATATTACCCCCCCCGCCGGCTGCCATTTTGCCATCACCCGCACCGCCCCCCCCGCCGGCGGCCATATTACCGCTCCCCCCAGCGGCGGCCACATTTCCCCCCGCCGCCCCCTCCTCCCTGCCGTGCGTNCCCTTCCCGCAGCGCCCGCAGGCGAACGGCCTCTCGCCCGAGTGCGTCCGCCGGTGCTTGCCCAGCGCCGCCCGCTCGCCGAACGCCTTGCCGCACTCGCCGCAGCGCCAGGGCCGCTCGCCCGAGTGCGTCAGCCGGTGCCGCTTCAGGTCCCAGGAGGCGGCGAAGGCCTTGCCGCAGTCGCCGCAGCGCCAGGGCCGCTCGCCGGTGTGCGTGCGGCGGTGCAGCGCCAGGTCGGCCGGCTGCCGGAAGGCCTTGCCGCAGTCGGCGCAGCCGTGCGGCTTCAGGCCCTGGTGGGCGCGCTGGTGCCGGCGGAAGCTGGAGGGGTCGGCGAAGGTGCGGCCGCACTGCGGGCACAGGTAGGGCCGCTCGCCGGTGTGCACGCGCTGGTGGCTCTGGAAGCTGGAGAGCTGCGTGAAGGCCTTGCCGCACAGGCGGCACGGGAAGGGCTTGGCCGCCGCGTGGATGCGCTGGTGGCACGACAG